TCCGTCTGCCCGCCACTTGGCTTCCACATACTCTTGACACAGGCAATCAGTTCATTAGATGTCTGATTTGCTGGCTTGATCTGACGATGGTGCGAAAAAAGTTAGCGCAGCACATAATATTGTTTAAAAAAATCACAAACCCAAAGAAATGTAGCATCTTCCACCTTCTGATTGTTAGGTAAGATCAAACAAGTCACACGCTCCCAAGTTACATTAGGACGAGTGATAGAAAGGAATTCGGGAAGATCATCAGGAGAATTTTCGGGAGCTTTGTTTCGAGTGACTGATTGAAGTTTGAAAAAAAATGTGAGAATTTTCATCTGTCTCTATTGTATGTCAAAGAAAAACAAATACCTTTCACGCGCAAGCCTTTATTTGTGTTCCAAGCAGTATTCACACCAAGAGAACGTTGAAGGTTTTTGCTTGTTGAAAATAAATTGAGAACTGCACTTCCGGCGGAAACCCGTTGACCAAGCTTCTGATCATACCATGTCCCACCTAACAGAATGTGAACAATCATTTGATAGCTGTTGAAGGAATTTGCAATATCACCTCCAGGTGCTAGATGATTTGAGTGAATTGAAGCTTTCCGTAATACAAAGTTGAAGCTTTCAAAAATTTCAGTAGCAACTAGATGACAAGGTCCAAACCACTGAATCGATTTGGGTAAATGAGTGAGCATATGAAGTTTCGGTTTGTTCGTCCAGCGTGCATTAGACCCAACAAGACGGAGAAGGAAGTTGTCAACGGATCTTTGAAGTTCAATGAGATAACGATCCATATTCGAGATTTCGTTCTGAAAAATTAATGAGGCTAAAGAAATAAGCGCGCTCCAAAAGTATCTTTTTTCTCTACTGATTTCTTCAAATAAAATAAAAGGAATAGCTTGCATGATTACTCGATACTCCTTTCCAACAAGACTCTTGTAATACTGGATGAATGCGTTTGGGATGATCGGTGGGATGTTCAGTCCTTTTGTATCAAAAGATGCCCATCGAGCCATGATACAGTCAAACCCGCGCACATGCATACCCGCGCACATGCATAACCAGCCAAAATGCATAAGTTTTGGTTTCCACCCAGCTGGTGCGGGCCAATTTTGTCATTAATTGCATAATTATGTCAAAAACCATAATGCATACTTCTTTTCAAGTCCCCAAAGTCATAATGCATGCCTACAAAGCGCCCCAGGATGTGTTTTTTTTCCATTGAACTCTGATCAAATCCTTTGCAAGTAGGATTTTGGCAACATCAGGCAGCAATGAGCCCTCTATGGGGTCAAACCGACCCCTAGTGGTGTTTTTTTCGGTGTCAAAAAAATATCTTGTCCTTGTACCCGCGCAAAATACAAACGTACTATTGCATAAACTTATACAATTTCAACAAAAACCCGTCATAATGCATATTTCAATGCATTTAGGCCAATATGCATACAAATATGCATTATGGGGGTTTATGCCTATTTGCATAACCCGCAATAATGCATAGCAAAAATTGTCTCCCCAATTTATGCATTAGCGCGGGTTTGACTGTAGTTGAGTGTTGAGGAGTTCCCGGCTTGAGCGGCGAGAGTTCAGTCATTAACTCTTGCCAGGGATACTTTGCTACTCCTAAAAGATAGACATGAAGCGCCTCAACCGGTGTGTCGTGGTGTCCATCAAAACCTATGAAAAAAGATGTCAGCTGTAAAAGGAACATCAAATTAAATGTTTATTGAGCTTACCGGGTAGCCGAAGGAAGGGATTATAAACACGAGAACCAAATTTTGAGTCAAGATCTTGCCACAACTGACGTGATTCTTCAGGTTTCTTTGAATCGAAAACTTGTAGAACTTGATTCATCAACTTTTCATTCACTGTATCACGAGTACCATGTAGACGTCGGGCTTTTGTAATTTCATCTTTTGTATGTAAGCTACTACCTAAGTTCCAAATATATTTTGTTAACTCTTTTGTGTTGTTCCAGTCGCGAAAAGCTAGAGGGTGCTACAAGTTTTGATAAAGAAAATCAGCTATTTTTATCTTTATGTTTTTCAAATTATCAAAAATAAAAATATGGACATACACGTTGAAAATTTTCATCAAGACCGACAAATTGTTGAACATAAGTTGTTGTCATCTTTTCAGATTTGCTATCCACTTGAAGATTGCATATTCGACACGGGGTAAGAGTAATTCCCGGATTGATACAATTGCAGATCTCAGAATGCATTGGAGAATCTCCAAGATAGCATAGTACTACGACCATGACTAAGACCTCTTGATCGATTTTGCAATCGTACGCTGAAAAGCCATCCGTCGCCAGAGAACTACACAGATGAGATTTAAGAAAATCAAAATTTGAACTTGAGATGGATTTGAAAATCATGAGACTTACGTAAGCTCATCAACAATTGGTTCTCCAAGTTCCAGCGCACTTGCAACATTTGATGTAGAAACATAATGAATATTATAATCTTGATTTGATAATTTTGTAGGTAGACCACTCAGAGTGTAATAGAACGACATATGACTGTTATACTTTTTTGATTGATTTCCTGATGTATCATCCGAGTACAAGGTGATGGGAATGTGACGGATTAATCGTCCGTTAGCTTTTGATCTCCACGGATTTTCAATGGGAATTGGAAGCAATGCGGTTGCAGTTGATTCTAAAAAGAGTGAAAACAAATTACATTAGAATACGTCTGATTCCATTAACAGATTATAAATACATACGATACATAGATGATCCACATAGATCTCTAAGCTTTCTCCCATCTGGTAGATATACCATAGAAATTGGACGCCAGAAATCATTTGCATTGACGGTGATAAGATTTTCCGAAGAGAAATCGGGTTCAGCATAAATACAGATATCAAGACCTTGTGTAACTGAGTTGTTGTAGATGTTTGTGGTTAGACACTTTGAAAGAAGATTATCCCCGTCTGTGTAAAAAAAAATTGGAACAAAAAGCTCGAATACAGCGGATGAGAGAAGTTGAACGGGTTCGTAGATATAAAAATGACCGTGTCGAGTTTCAATCATAGGTGTTTGTAAGTCTTTTTTGATCCCCTCTCGCCACTTTTTAGATTGAGAAAGTCTATTTATTGGTTCATTTGTAGAAAGTTCGGGAATTGTAATCAAATGCGGTCTAATGTCTGGATTGGCCAAGTTCTAGAAAAACAAACAAAATCAGTTGTGTGGTTTTGTCTTTATCAAGAATTAATTTATAATTACCAGAGTAATTCCTTCTTTAATTGGTAATGTAAAGCATGGAGTACCTAACACACTCCAAGTATTGGTAACAGTTAAGCCCATTTTTTCTTTAAGACTTTTTTGTAAACTTTGCAGTGTTTTCCAGGTAGGAAGATAAACTGCACAGATAGTTAAGATTTCCCTAATCTTCTCATATAGTAATCGAGAAATTAAACTACGAGTAGAACCTATGATTAACATTGCAACAAGGTACTTTAATAAAAACAAAGAAATATCTCAGTGTTTGAAAATTCAAAACAAAAAAAAAGTATGATGTTTCAAGATACGGAGAAAGAGATGAGGAATTTCAACGCACCTCCTTTTTTTTGAATGGGTACCACTCATCAAATTCAGAGTCATCTTTATTTAAATCATCATCATCATCATTATACAAAATCTCATCTTCCTGCTCTTCCTGCTCAGGCTCGTGAGGAGCTACATCACCATCCTCTTCATCTTCTTCTCCGAGTCCAAGGTTGTAAATTGCATTCCAGATCAAATCTGGTCTTTCTTGTACAACCTCCTCAACATCAATACGAGCATCCGCTGAGGTTTCAAAGAGGGCCGAGTCATCCTGATTCCAAACATTTGTTTCATCCGAGTGAGTCTCAATTCTATAATCCGGTGGATCCTCTTCGTCCCCGGCGTCATCACTTGTCCAATTCATTGCATTGACCGCACCTGATCCTGATCCGGAAGCCAGAGAGGGATTCGGTAAGTTCATCTCGATTTTGTCCACTTCCAGCTTAGCCACATTAGCTTGGTGAGTCTTGCTTTTGGAATGAGCATCGTAAGATGGGAAGGGCTTCCTTCCACAGAGAATACATATGTACGAGGGATGCGATGGTCTGTCCAACACTGAGCGAAAATCTGAGAACAACTGCTCAGCCTTCGAGCTCAACTATTGAGGCCAAATTCACTTACATTCTGCCACAAGCGGTTGCGCTCCCGGTGCAGACATCACAACACGAAGGCGCTATTGTTTAAAAAATGATTGAAAGCTTGAGTTTTTCGATACGGCTCTTGCAGAGGTACGTTTTTTGATATCGATTGCAATTGATATCGATAGTAAGTCCAATCGAGGACATGAGTTTAACTGCAGGTTAAAACCTTTCTCCATAAGGATTTTTACTTGTCAAACTTTCCTGCTGCTCGTCGCTTTCTTTTACAGTCAATTTCCTCGCAAAGTTCCTCTCCTCATTTTTTCTTCCACTGTGTTTTTTACTTAAGGCAAAACTAATCGATCATTCTTCGGTTTGAAGTTTTAAAAAAACCAAGGATCCTTTTCACTGGATCTATCGCGGTTTTATTGAGCCTATTCTCAGGCTCATACGACCCTTGCTTCTGCCATCAATCGATGTTGGCACGAGTGGATGGCCATCGAGTGTGGCCAGTGAACTCAATGGCCATCTTTCGGCCGTATTCTGTACGGTCTTTCGGCCATCTTCTTGAACGTTCAAGGAGATGGCCGAAAGACCGGTTTTTGGCAGTGTTCTTCTCGCCACAGCGCTGGTTGTTCTCTCGCCAGACCGACCAGCTGATCGCTGGCCGAAATCTCAGCTTTCGACCAGAATTCAGCTGGTATAGCCATACCAGCTGAATTCTGGTCGACCGCTGAGATTTCGGCCAGCGCTCGGCCAGAACTCCACACGACCTCTTTCTCGCTGAGATCTCAACCAAAACTTACCCCGTGGTGTACTTCATCAACTATCCGGCGGTGTCACCTTCCCCATACCAGGCAACCGACGGACATCCACAAGCCCTAGCACGACATGTTCACACGCCGTGAACCCGACAATTGCACTGTCTCACCATACCTTTCGCCTACACACGTCAACTCCCCCTCACCACCTCAACGAATACGTCGGCCCACCGCAGACCTTCAATCCTCCTCCAATAACAGCCAACCGTGACGCGTGGTATTTTGATTCAGGCCACACCATCTCAGTCCCGCCGATCTTAGATCCTTGCCTACTCATACGACCATGGCTCTCTGAAGTACGTCATACGCACACGTCGACATCTTACCCCCCCAACACCCATACAAACCTCAATTCAGCCGTCATATGAACGCCACACTGACCCAATCAATCAGCCAAGGAACGGCAACACCCATTCCAACATGGCAATCCAACGTCTCGCCACTTCAATAACAGCCCTCATGCCCTGTCACTTAAAAGTATAAGTAAGACAGGTCTCAGCATTTGATCCATGATCCGCATCCATCTCAGCTTCAACAACTCTCTTCATAACAGCGATTACTTCTCTTCACTTTAGCTTGACTCCTGCACCAGGTCCCGTCTCCTTCCTCATCTACCTCACCAGCACTTCTTACCAGTTCGATCACGTCAAACACTGAAGAAACTGATTCAACCACACACACGCTCCTCCTCATTTCAAGCCTCCTTACGGTATGCTACACTCCCTGGACTGACTGAATTGACATCAATATTCAACGCCTTTTACACTGACACCCAAGCCATCTCACTTCCAATCAAAGTTACCCCGCTCACATCGCGTCTTTTCCACGAGACATTCACGGAACCGTTATTCACCATGTCTAAGTCTACAAGCAAGTCCATGTCCAACGCCCCCGTCAGGAAGTCACATTCCTTCATGGTCTCAAGTGTCTTTGAAGTGTCCGAAACGGTAAGTCTCACCTCTACCTGGTTCGTACAACATCTGACTAATCTTTACGTGTTCCTTAGTTACCGCCAGCCGATAACAGAGCTTATACTTACAGAGGCTCAACTGTGGCCATAACTTGTAGCGGGTGGGAAGGTGACAACGAACAAGAGTATGACGGTGACCTCATCGCGTACAGTAGCGCTACAGAGGCCGTCATGGAGAACCACTGCTACAGTCTTAAGGCGAAAATGTTGCCGAACCCCGAGAACGCTGACTATAAGTTGTACTTTGAAGCGGATCACAAAATCTTAGTTGGTACTTCCGAAACATTCGCTGGCGAACTCCACAACAATACGGCTGCCTCCGGATTCGGTGTCGTCACCTCCCGACAAGAAATACCTGAACCTGATACTGAAGACGTTACTCTTGCTTTCGTCATGAGCCACGTAGACTATAACCCAGAAGTGAGAAACCTCATTTCAATCCACGATGTTTGTGTGCACACAGCATTACAGCCAGACTAATCTCCTTCTGCCGTAGCTTCGAGACTATGTAGAGTTCGAAGTCGAATACCGGATCAGACCAACCATCAAACTCAAGCGCTCGCAGAATATCATCCAAGATGGCAAGGAGACCTTGGTTCATGGCTTCATAGTCGATTGGGATCCGGAAGTCAATCGGTGGATCGTCGAGGTGAGTGTTACATGTGGTCTTCACATTCATCATGCTTACAATCAACTCAAGCGTTTAGGTTACCGCCATAAACGTTGCTAGCGGTCACGAGGTGCTTTCCAAGAAGCGCCAAGACGCTGGAAGCAAGGTGACACCGACAGGAAGAGTGCGGCCCGCAAAGTGAGTCTCACCGTCGATCCCCCATACACTTGTTGCTGACAATCGATTCTAGGCATGTGACGCAATCGAGTCCGACCCCTACGGCGGGTCCCAGCAAGCTTCCCTCAGCCAACAAGAAGGGCAAGAAGCGACAGCCTCCCCCTGAAGAAGAAGGGTACTTCGACGAAAAGGGAAACATCGTGATGTCGCCACCTCCTGCTCCTGAAGGCCAGCCCAGCAAGGCCAAACGTGCTCCTGCTGGTCGCGCAGCGAAGAAATCTAAGCTAGGATAGGACTTCCAAGCTCACATTTCGCTAGGCGTGACCAAGGGGCACCATCCTACTCATTTCATCATTTGTCTCTGCCGCGGTGTATCTGGGCGGCACATGCCACTTCACGCAATCTATGTTCTGTTATGTAAATTTCCTTGACCGGTTATCTTTGCAATTGTCTATACTGGATGCTCTAGCAAACACTCCTCACGCCGCGTTCAGGCAATCATAAAGCTGATAGCACAATGCGTGGTGTCATGCACCGTCTTAAAAATTGATTCATCGCCTCGGTTCCAGCTTGCCTGAGCCCTCCTCAACTTCCATCGCTCCTCACGAGCCACATAGGTGCCTCCATACTTTTACTTCAGCATTGTGTCCAGTCTGTCTGATACAGCAGTCTTCAATGAGCAGCGTTTGCAGTTCCGAAGCATCGGAGTCTGACTCGGAAGAAATCTTGACTGGCTTCGGCTTGGCTTGCTCAGACATATACAAAACATCTGAAGCAAGTTTACTTGCACGCTTCCCCTCCAAAATACCCTACGACGTTGGCCATTGCGATGACGCGTGCTCAACCTGCGGTGCGCTTCACTGGAAATTGGAACGCACTCAAAGGACCATTAATGCCGCAACCGCAAGTTATTCGACTTGCTGCTAGCAAGGCGCAGTAGTACTCCCAAGCGATCATCTCGCCGACGGGTTAACGCCCACCTTCCTCCGGAATCTCTTCACAGGGGCTGATCGTGGTGAGTATGCACATCGTCATCTGAGCAAGCCATGAACTGACGATACGTAAACAGTTTCAAAGAATTTCCGAAAGAACATTAGGACGTTCAACAAAGCGGTTTCCTTCACTTCGACAGCTGCAAAGCAGGACAAGACGGTGGCTGGGAACGGGGGGTCATGGAGTTACAGAATCAAAGGGTCCCTAACGCACTTAATTGGGTCACTACTTCCACTGCCTGGAGACCCTAAGACGTTTGGCCAGATGTTCATCTTTGGTGACCAAGGAGAGGAGGAGCTCGCTTTACAAAAGCCCATGAATTCAGGAATCAACGTTCAAACACTGTCTGCAATCCAAACGTTCCTCTACCACAACAATCCATTCGCGAAATTGTACAAAGCAGCGGAAGCGAGCTTGGTGCCAGGAGTTGTCAAGACAATCAAAATTAAGTCGCTCAATCGCCACGGCAGGGACGCCAACCGGTATAACTACCCATCGTGTTCTCAAGTAGCTGCTATACTTCCAGGTGACGGAGTCGTGGGCGCCAAGGACCGAGACATTATACTGCATCGCCAGTCAGGTGAACTTCAAAGAATCTCGGAATTAAACACGAACTACTTTTCTCTGCGTTACCCGTTATTCTTCATGTACGGATCGCATGGTTGGGATGAACACTATCGGCACATCACCGAGAAACGTAAGATATTTCCACCGTTCACACAAGACAAAGAACGCTGACTTGGTGCATTCAGGTCCAAACGGGAAGGTGACGGCTCTTGAGTGGTTTGCATACACGATTTTTTCCCGTCGAGGTATCTTCTTGGCTGTGCTTCGTGGTGGGAGGTTGTTTCAGGAGTACCTGGTGGACATGTATGTCTGCATCGAAAATGCTAGGCTGAAAATCATCAAGAGGAATCAAACCAAACTACGTGCCGAGCTCTATAACGGTGCCGCGGAAGCCTTAAACAACAAAGACCTGACAATTGGACGTAACATCATACTCCCAGCAACTTTCATAGGTGGCCCGCGACACATGCATCAGCTTTATCAGGACGCAATGGCACTGGTGAAGGCATTCGGCCGTCCGAGCCTGTTCATCACGATGACGGCAAATCCTCACTGGGACGACGTAACTCGCGAACTACTTGATGGACAACAACCTGAAGACCGGTCTGATCTGCTAGCTCGGGTCTACCATATGAAACTCAAGGAACTCCATCGCGATGTAATGAAGCGAGGCCGACTGGGTGTGTGTGTCTCGGACGTACATACCGTAGAGTTTCAGAAGCGAGGTGCGCCCCACACGCATAACATCTTGATCTTGGACAAATCATCAACGCCAAACACGCCAGAGGACGTCGATTTGCTCGTGAGAGCAACCATACCTGATCAGGACAAGGAGCCGTTATTGTATTCATTAGTCACTGAATACATGGTGCACGGACCGTGTAGTTCTGATCGAGCTTGCTGGAATGGCACGAAGTGCAAGTACGGGTTCCCTCAACCATTTCAAGAAGCAACGGCGATGAGTGAAGGGGCATACCCTAAGTACAAACGACCTGACGAAGGTGTTTCCTTTGTGAAGAATGGCGTGCGTTATACGAATCAGGACATTGTTCCATATAATCCCTTTCTCTTATTGAAGTACAGGTGTCACGTGAATGTAGAAATCGCAGTCAGCATGAAGGCAGTGAAGTACCTCTATAAGTACATTGCTAAGGGGCATGACCGACAAGACCTGAGTCTAGAGACAGACAACGAACCCACCGACTACGTTGATGCACGATTCCTTGGGGCCGCAGAGGGTGAGTTTGTATGATACTCACTTCAGGTATCGTAACATACGCTGATGACCGTTGTGGTGATCAATTTATGGGATCAATTAAAAATTCACAATTACCATTTTACCAGTTGATTAGCAAGATTCAGCAGGAAAGAAAATTCGAAATGGAGGTTTTTGATCAATTGAAGCTCTTGTAGGCTTATGTATTGGTCATTAGGTCAACATTACATCATTTTATTTCACATTATATATTAAGATCATTATAGTTTACTTACAAATTTATTACAAAAAGAAAGAAAGAAAAACATAAGAAAAATTCGAAATTATAGGTACAAAGGTTGGAAAATGGTTTTTAGGTTAGTAAAAATAAAGTTATGGGTATTATGAGGTTAGAATATGAAAGAACAACATTATATTATACTATGACAATTTTAATCTTCAAGGTTGATAAGTAGAAACAGAAGTTATTAGGGAAAAGGCACTTTTTCGAAGTTGGTAAACAAGAGGTACACGTGTAGTTTGGTTGTGTAATAGTGGTAGTGATGGAATTTAAGGTTGCCAAGAGGATTTTCCGGGATTTTTAAGGTTATAGATGATGATGTCATATTACATGAGCAAGAAAAAGAGAGTAGTAGCTGTGAAAAGTGAAGAAAATGGGTGAAATTCGTGGAAAATGGAGGTTTTCAGCTAATTACATATGTCAAATGACGTCAGAATAGGTTGGTAGATGGCTCATTCAACGCAGAAGAGTGGATTACATAATGTACAAACTGTAAATCATTAGTAACGGAGGTGTGTGTAAAAGGTTATAAGGGAAATAAGAAATTGGTGTGAATCTCGAATTTACAGTCACAAGTCACATGTAACACTAAAAACCTTAACTTCACAACTCAATATCTTACTCATCACTCATCAGAAGTAGGTCATGTAGGTGTCAGAAATGATCAGTAACACGTGGGCTACAAGATGCACTTTAGTAATCAAAAATTGGAGCACATCTGAAAAAATTCGTAATCTCAAAAATTGGTTTTCAGCTAGTTTACAAGGAAAAAATCACCTGTATTCATCATAAGAATTGCTGTACATCATATTATTGCGTCATTGATCACTTTTAGCTGTGAAAATTACATCATTTATTAGTAACAAAATCATTACATTGCGTCATCATAGGGTTTTTAGGGAATTTTGGGCGGATTTGATTGGTTTTGAGGCTGTTGACCATTGTAAAAGTTCTAGTACATTGTTATATATACTTTGAGAGGGTTTTGGGACTGTTGTTCCCCTTTTTTCTTTATCATTTACACCATTATTATTTTGTTTATCATTATAAACTTATTTTAATAGTACCTGGTCACTTAAATACGCCCTTTATTACAATTATAAAGAGAAATTTACTTTAGTTATATAGTCATAAAGACTTATTGGGAATAATATCAATCAGATATTGCTTATTTCTTTTAGTTATCAATTGGGAATAACACTATAGCAGTGTTGATAGTAATACAAAGTGTGCTTTTGAAGTTAAAATTACGTGTGAAGATATATTTCTCTGGTGCCTTATCAGTACTCAATACAACAGAGCTCTTTCTGATTGTGTTGTTTTAGAAGAGCAGTCCTTAGACAACTTCTACTAGTCATTTTATTAGTAGATTATCCTCTTCCAGCTCTGTATAACCCTTGTTGGGTTATAAGTTCTACAACGTCAATATGAACGTGTTCGCTCATACGTGGGTTTGTTAGGAATTAGCCTTCCCGGATACAAAAGTATCCAGAATCTCCGCCGCAGACTGAGACAAATGTACGAATTTGATGTTTCCGAGAATGTTGGCCCTCTTGGAAAAACTACTTTTGCGCTGAAAGTTAAACAAGTACTAGCGCAAGTAAGTTTTTTACATTGTTCATGACTGCCTTTGATCATCAGTTCACTGAGGAAATTCCCGTAGGAATTAGCCAACCCATTTGTCTGCAACAACCTGCAATTCATACCTGAATTGCCAAGCAATACTGACAAAGTAGACCGCTTCGCTCAATCAAAGAAGTGGAGAGAGGACTTAGACCGGAATCTACGTGTTCAGATGGTCGAATTACCACAAGGACATTTTTATATCTTTGAGCCTGTCCAGCTCAAAAACAAACAAATCATCATTCCGGCATTTTTCTATCAACAGGGCAAGGAGATATTCGCCAAATGCGCTGCTGCTCATCAAAGTCTTCAAAAAGATGCAGATGGCCAACCAAAGATCCGCGTGTACTTCGACTCGACTTCGGATTTCAACTCACTAGTATTAACAGCTATCAACGTGAAGGAGTTTTCAAAGGTATTTGACGCAATTGAGATACGTGAGGGCGTCATGATGAAGACATATTGTGGGGATTCAATGTATGGTAAGTCTTTGACTAATTTTTTTTGTTAAGGATCCTCAAGCTGAACTGTCATTTTCTGTTGCAGAGGATGTCGGCGCTGGAACATTCTTGCAAGTTCCTTTACCGAATCCATGGCAAATTAAGGCTAAAGGCAAAATTATCCGCCACGTTCCTCTTGTCATGTATTGCGATGATTTGTTGGGTAATATATCAAAGCGCTGGAATAAACACATTGCTTTTTATTGCACGCTAGCCGGTTTACCTGCAAAATTGTCCAATCAAGAATACAATTGTCATTTCTTGACAACTTCGAACTCAGTGGGTGCTCTGGAGCTGGCTGACCCTTTGGTGGATGAGCTCAAGTAAGTGATTCAGATAATTTCAGATCATCTTGGATAATAATCTGAATTACTTGTTTTTAATTATGCTATAGCCAA